AAATATTGAGGTCTCTCCCCTACATCACTAATGGCTATTAGCAATCTGTCCATTTGGGACATTTGCATTTACAGATATACATGACTTCTTCCTTCTCTATGTATCTTAATGACCAAAACTTCATCCCCTACTTTTCTTCCCGCATTTTGAACAAGCCCTGGCTCACCAAAACTCCCCCACCCATTGCAGGAGATGAGGGAGATGGAGAGTAACTAGCTGAGTCTTATGGAGGAGTCTGTGAATATATTCCTCTTCCTGCACCAGGACCAGACCACTCCCATCTCAGTATCCAGAGGGAGACCAAAAAAAGGAAAGCATTAGTTCAGGGGGGCAGGAAATAATCCTAACAAAAGAAACAAAGCAAAACAGCAATGCAACAAAATCTAAAAATCTGGAAATAACCATATCCTTTGCTTACTCAGTGTGGCGCTGTTACACCCCCCCCCCACACACACACACACACACACCACCAGCAGCCCTTTAGTGGCTGTACAATGCATAGAGGTGGTTGAGCCTGCTGATGACTTCAACCTAACAGGTCTGGGTTGCATCCTGCAGCCAATGGCTAACCCAGTGGTGTCAAATGACAAGTGGTGGCTGAACCACATAGAGGTTTGAGTCTGCTACAACCTTGAGCTAACAAAGCTGCATCTTTTAGCTCAGGCAGTTGAGTTTTATGCTTTTAGAACCAGAGGACCTGGGTTTAACTCCCCATGTGGATGACCCACCTAAGGGTGTCACATTACATAAAAAGAAAAGTAATAAATACAAGTTACATCCCTTCTTGAGCACTTGTCACTTTTCATGATGCATGAGCAAGCCTAGAGTCAGTCCAGCCACAAGAACTGGTGATCCTCTGCCATGGTATCTACAGTGTGGGAGGGCATCGGTGGGCATAGCCCTCATGATACATGTACAAGAAAGAACCAGTAAAAGCTGTCATTGGAACACAACAAAAATGTTTAAAAGTGCAAATATACATTAGGTACCGTAGAGTTTATGTCCCTGCTGTGCCCGAAGTTACAGGATGGATGAAATAATCCATAGCACCAGGAGTGGTTGTAGGAAAACTCTGTATGGACCTAGTTCAATACTGCACATGAAATGGGAGTCTCTAGTGTAGGCGAGCCTTCAGAGGTGCTGTAATAGGCATTCAGTTTTTAGAAGTCAAACACATAATTCTTCTTCGAGTGCTTGCTCATATCGATTCCAATTAGGTGTGCGCGCGCCGCATGCACGATCATCGGAGAATTTTCTACCCTAGCAACACCCGGTGGGTCGGCTGTGGAGCCCCCTGGAGTGGCGCCTTCATGGCGCTGGATATATACCCCAGCCGACCCAGCGCCCCCTCAGTTCCTTCTTACCGCCCGTGACGGTCGTTGGAACTGTGGAGCGCGGCATAGCTGTTCTCCACTCTCCCTAGCTTTACTCGTTAGTTCTTGTAGATAGCTGTTGGTTTTACTCCCGCTACTTCCTGATCCCCAAAGCAAAAGGGGGTCTGCAACCCATTTTGGACTTACGCGGACTCAACAAATTCATAGTAAAGTTGAAGTTCCGCATGGTCTCCTTGGGGACCATCATCCCTTCCCTGGATCCTGGAGACTGGTACGCCGCCCTCGACATGAAGGATGCATATTTTCATATAGCAATCTACCCCCCTCACAGGCGCTTCCTTCGATTCGTAGTAAACAATGTGCACTACCAATTTGCCGTCCTTCCCTTCAGATTGTCCGCGGCTCCGAGAGTGTTCACCAAATGTATGGCTGTCGTGGCAGCATACCTTCGTCGACAAAGGATACAGGTGTTCCCGTATCTAGACGACTGGCTTGTGCGCGGCCGAACCAGGGAGCAAGTTCAGGCGCACGTCCAGATAATACTACAAACATTCCACGAGTTAGGCATTCTTCTCAACAAAGAAAAGTCCACTCTGGAGCCAACCCAGAGGATAGAGTTTATCGGGGCAGTTTTAGACTCCAGACTCGCCCGAGCTCTTCTGCCAGACACTCGGTTTCACACCATCGCAACCATCATCCACGGACTCCAGGTCTTCCCGATTACCACAGTAAGGACGTGCCTCGGCCTGTTGGGTCACATGGCCTCTTGCACTTACGTAACCAGGCATACCAGACTTCGGCTTCGCCCACTTCAGGCCTGGGTATCGTCGGTGTACCGTCCTTATCGGGACAACCTAAACATGGTGGTCACGGTTCTGAACCCGGTCTTGACCTCCCTCACCTGGTGGCTGGATCACAAGGCGGTTTGCGCAGGAGTGCCATTTCATGCCCCACAACCCTCCCTGCACCTGGTCACAGACGCTTCATCTCTAGGGTGGGGCGCTCACCTCAGGGAGCACCATACCCAGGGCCTGTGGACCGCATCCCAACTAGCTCTGCACATCAATGTTCGAGAGCTGATGGCGGTGCGCCTAGCGTGTCAGGCATTTCTTGGTCTCCTACATGGCTGTTGCGTGTCAGTCCTCATAGACAACACCACGGCCATGTTCTACATCAACAAGCAAGGAGGAGCCCGGTCGTCTCCCCTATGCCAAGAGGCCATTCACCTGTGGGAGTTCTGCATTGCCCACTCGATACATCTCATGGCATCGTTCCTCCCTAGAGTCCAGAACACTCTGGCGGACCATCTCATCAGATCCTTCCAAACGCACGAATGGTCGATTCGCCCGGATATCATCCATTCCATCTTTCAGAGGTGGGGATTTCCCCAGGTCAACCTGTTCGCCTCACGAGCCAACAGGAAATGCCACGTGTTCTGCTCCCTCCAAGGACGATCTCCGGGCTCCCTGTCGGATGCTTTCCTCCTATCATGGAGAGACCAGCTGTTCTACGCTTTCCCTCCATTCCCACTGGTCCACAGGGTGCTGCTCAAGCTACGCAGAGACAAGGCACGTATGATTCTAGTCGCTCCAGCTTGGCCAAGACAGCACTGGTACACCACGCTTCTGGAGCTATCGGTGCAAACTCCGATCACGCTTCCCTTGTGCCCAGACTTGATCTCTCAGGACCACGGCCGACTCTGTCACCCCGACCTGAAATCGCTCCACCTCACAGCGTGGATGCTCCATGGCTGAATCGGACAGAGCTACGATGCTCACATCCCGTGCAACAGATTCTGCTGGGAAGTAGAAAGCCCTCTACATGGACCACTTATTTAGCCAAGTGGAAACGGTTCTCCTGTTGGTGCGAACAGCGGGCCACGCCCCCCTTGCAGGCGTCAATTCCACTTATACTCGAATATCTCCTATCCCTGAAACAGCAGGGCTTGGCGATATCTTCAGTCAGGGTTCACCTGGTCGCTATATCGGCGTTCCACCCAGGAGAACAAGCTTCCTCGGTCTTCTCTAACCCGATGGTCGTCAGATTCCTCAAGGGCTTAGACCGGCTATACCCACAGCAACGCCAACCCGTTCCGGCATGGGATCTTAACCTGGTTCTCTCCAAGCTCACAGGGCCCCCGTTCGAGCCATTGGCTACCTGCTCACTCCTTTACCTATCTTGGAAGACAGCCTTCCTTGTAGCCATCACTTCAGCAAGACGTGTTTCTGAACTCAGGGCGCTCACGTCTGAGCCTCCGTACAGTCTTCCACAAAGACAAGGTGCAGCTTCGCCCCCACCCTGCCTTTCTTCCCAAGGTAGTATCAGGTTTTCATGTGAACCAGGATATATTTCTCCCGGTCTTCCATCCTAAGCCGCACGCCACCCGTCAAGACCAACGTATGCACTCCTTGGACGTACGCAGGGCCCTGGCTTTCTATATTGAGCGTACGAAACCGTTTAGAAAGACGACACAACTCTTCGTTGCAGTGACCGACCGGATGAAAGGCTTACCGGTCTCCTCGCAGCGTCTCTCCTCTTGGATCACGTCCTGCATTCGTGCTTGCTACGACCTGGCCGGTGCCCCGACGCCGCGCCTCACCGCCCACTCCACGAGGGCCCAAGCCTCCTCGACTGCCTTCCTGGCTCAAGTCCCGATCCAGGACATTTGTAGAGCTGCAGTTTGGTCATCGGTCCACACCTTCGCCGCTCATTATGCGCTTGTACAGCAGTCCAGAGACGATGCTGCATTCGAATCAGCGGTTTTGCACACAGCGATGTCTCACTCCGACCCCACCGCCTAGGTAAGGCTTGGTAGTCACCTAATTGGAATCGATATGAGCAAGCACTCGAAGAAGAAAAAACGGTTACTCACCTTTGTAACTGTTGTTCTTCGAGATGTGTTGCTCATATCCATTCCAAACCCGCCCCCCTTCCCCACTGTTGGAGTAGCCGGCAAGAAGGAACTGAGGGGGCGCTGGGTCAGCTGGGGTATATATCCAGCGCCATGAAGGCGCCACTCCAGGGGGCTCCACAGCCGACCCACCGGGTGTTGCTAGGGTAGAAAATTCTCCGACGATCGTGCACGCAGCGCGCGCACACCTAATTGGAATGGATATGAGCAACACATCTCGAAGAACAACAGTTACAAAGGTGAGTAACCGTTTTTTTTGTTTGATGAAGGGCGAGATGAAAGATAGTCATGAATAATTGGAGAGTGCTATGAGTCTGATCCGGCAAGGTGCTGAATACTCTCAGTTCCATTGGAGTCCTGCACCTTGTAGGACTGGGATCTAACTAAAAGACTTAGAGAGGAGTCCTATGATAGAAGTAGCGAGACTTCTAACAACAGATCAAAAACTCCACGGGACAAATGCTGTGCGAATTTGGTAAAATTCCCAGTCAAGACCATAGGATATGGCCCTGAATGATGTCTGTATATTCCACTTATATCAATAATACATTAATTCTGTTATGAGCACCCCCCAAGCAAATACACTTTTATGATTGTAGTTCTATATCAGATTTTCTTTCTATATGCTCTCCGGGAAATCGTCCAACAGACATAATTGGGACCGTGAATAAGGATTTTGTTTAATCTGAAAATTAATAAAGCAAAAGTTTTTGATGGCTTGTTTTTACTAAACATCTCTCTCTTTAAAATCACAGTATTTTTAAGACCACAGAGAAATTTGGAATCCATAGACCCTCAATTTACAATTCGGAGGAAAATGGAACAGATGAGAGAAGAGAAAGAGCTTGTGGAGCAATTCCGTGAGGTATGTGAAAAACAATGTGAAGGGCTGCAGATTTGCGGCTAAAGCATGTATTTCCTGTTTGCCCTTGGGAAAGCTACCTAATCTTAGGGGAAAAGCAGTGCTTGGATGTATGAGCAGGGGAATATCAGAGAGTGGGGAGGTGGCATTATTTCTGTATACAGCATTAGTGAGACCATGACTGGAATACTGTATGCAGTTTTGATGTCTATACTTCAAAAAGAACATTGACAAATTTGGAAAAGATTCAAGAAAGAGCCACAAGAATTATTTGAGGTCTGGACAAGAGATCTTACATTGAGAGACTTAAGAAGCTCTATCTATTTAGTTCATCCAAAAGAAGGTTAAGAGGTGACCTAGTCACAGTGTACAAGTACCTGCATGGGGAAGAGGTTTCTGATGGTGGGCGTGGCTCTTTAATCTGGCAGATAAAGGCATAATAAGATCCAGTGGTTGGAAGTTGAAGCTAGACAAATTCAGACCAAAATTAGTGCTTTATTTCTAAAGTATAGATAATTAAGCATTGCAACAATTTACCTAGCAATATGGTGGATTCTCCATCACTTGAGATTTTTAAATCAAAACTGGGTATCTTTCTAAAAGATAAACTATAGCTTAAACAGAAGTTATGGACTTGATGCAGAATTACTGGGTGAGGTTCTATGGCCTGTGTATTGCAGTATGCCTGTGTATTAGTGGTCGCTTGTGGCCTTAAAATCTATAAACCTCTCTGTGCCTCAGTTTCACCATCTATAAAATAGTGATGAGATAATTACTGCAAAGAGTGTTGAGTGTTAAGATCTTCAGTTGCAAGCGGTCCCAAATACAAAGTGTTCTTATATGTGTCTGTAGCATTCATTGCATTACATCTGCTAAAGTTATATGAGATAATTTTACATTACTATTGGTTTAAAATACATTTGGTGTTACAAGTGAATAGTAGCATCATCTGGCATTATGATGATCAACTTGAATTTTGTCCATTGACTAATTTAAAACATATATATTTTCTTGATAGAACAACTTTTAAATATGTACTGAATTTAAAAAAAAAAAATCTTTTCTAAAATAAGTAAGGGCTTTTCTGCTCCCCAGATAATGTTTAGAAGGGTTATTTAGTTAAGCACAACACCACCTCTTCTGCCTCCCTTACACTTTGCACATATGCCTATCTGGTGCCTGCATGGTTCATTTTAGCTTCGCTGCTGCTGCTGTTTATAAAACAGTGGCACCTAGAGGCCTCAGTAGGGTGTGTGATAGGCTGAATACCACATATTGTAAATTACTGTTCCTGCCCCAAAGAGTTTACAGTCTAAAAGACAAGATAGAGGAGTTGGGTGACATGGACAAACAGACGGAGGAAGGAGAACAGAGGTAACTATTTTAGCATAGACTGGCAGTGTGCACAAATTTGTAGTTGTTACTGATTGGCTCATTACAGCAATCAGAGCTTGTTACCTATTACTGGTAAACACCTCTTGCAACTAGTGAATTTTAACAAACGGACAGAAATGGGGAGGGAATGCAAGGGACAGGGATGATATATTTTTATCTGTTCTCTAAAGGACATAACATAGTTTGGGGTACTATATAAATAATAATAATAATGTGCTCTACTGGGAAAGAGTATGAAAACTCCAGGCTAAGATAATGTGACTACTCATATCCATAAGGTTACACACATGCCAAAGCGTTTGCAAGATTGGAGCCTAAATCAATAAAAGTTACACGTTTGTAACAAAATGCAATGGTTTTTTGCCAGAAAATTTGTAAACATTTTCAAAGTGCCCTACTTTGCTGAGTGTTTTGCAACTTGACATTTATTTAATTAAAGTGCCCCTTTTGTCTGAGTAGGGAATTTTCATATTTTTACCCAGTAGTGCACATTACAGATCCAACCTTGTCCTCCCTTCTGCATTCTTTCCAATTTTTGTTACGCCCACTTGTTTCTTTTCAGCTGTTTGAGGAGTGGCCATCTTTTACTCTGTGTTTGTACAGGGCTTAATGCAATGGGGCTCTGATCCTGACTCGGGATTCTGGGTGCTACTATAATAAAAAGAATAATTTTAGATATGAGGCAACAAGCAAGAGTAGCAAAGTATGGTGCTGGCAGGGTGATGCAATGAGGAAGGACAAGCATTACCGTAATAAGATGATGTGGTTACTCATTTCTGGCACCGTTAAAGTGATTGTTTTTTCATAAGTTACATTTCCAGTGGGTGACCTGGAATGAGGCAGTGTGGTGTTTTGGGGTTTTTTTAGGAGCAATTTAAATGGAGATGTGGTGGCTTGACAAACTGGACTTGGGTGAGGATTCACTGCAATAGTGGGTAGCATGGGAAAAGGCATGGCGACGTGATAGAGAATATGGACATTTGCTTTTGTGGGAGGTGGTTCTTTCTAATTCTGTGTAAAAGTGGTGACATGTTTGTTCTTCTTTTATAGAACATTGAAATGAGACTAAAGATTTGTTTGCCTGAAGACTTGGGGTCTGCTCTTATGGATGGGGTCGTTCTCTGTCATTTAGTCAATCACATTCGTCCTCGATCTGTGGGAAGTATCCATGTACCCTCACCAGCAGTAGTAAGTCAAATTTTTTTTTAAAAAGAAAAACTAAAGCTTTATTATCAAATAAAATCTACTTCTGAAAAACAGTCATTGGGTGGTGAGTAGTGTTCATGCCTACAAACGTGTACTTCCCTTCTCTCCCCCCCCCCCCCCAGTTCAGATTGGCAGTAACTCAAATCTTCATAAAAATGAAGTACTGGAGCTATTTAAAAAAAACCACATACACTTCTCTCTCTTTTATTATGAATAAACTGATCTGTGACTGGCTGAAGCTCATGATAGGTTTGTTGTCTATACCATCTAGATTGCAGGAGGTCAGATTTTTCCATAAATGCCTTCCTGTTTATGTTGTGGCAGGTGATCATTATCCTCTGACAAGATTTTGTTCCAGTGGATACTTTCCTACTTTCTCCACTTCCTGGTGCATTGTTAATGTGTTCTGTCATAGCATACAGTATGATTTATAATATACTCTAATAAGCATGTGTAGAGCCTGGGGTGGATACAAAATTTGTATCCGCATCCATTCCGGAATCCACGAAAATGGTCCATGGGTATCCGCATCCACATCTGCAGATACCTATATCCGCAGATATAAAGTGGATATCTGCAGATTTACAGCACTCTAAACATGTGGGAAACATTATGCTACAATGAGATTAGCAATTTATTGAGTTAACAACAATCCTACATAGCAAGATTTTTTTGTTTTGTTTTTTTGTTAAATATGGAAACAACTCATTTTTTGTCACAGACAGGACAGAAGAGAAACATATGATCTAGTCCTGCAATCTTTGACTCCCCAAAGGCACTAGGGCATATGGATCTGATTGCAGGGCCATCAAGGATTTTTTTGTACCAAATCTACTTGCGTACACTTTTTTCAAACCTAATTGCCTTTTCTTTTCAACTTTCTTCAGGATTTTTCCTGTATTTATGGAAGACTTGGTTTCCCTTAGTGGGGACATTTCTGTTCTAGATTTCTGATGTCACTTTGATTCTAAAGAGGTTTCCTGTATTTTCAAAATACGATGCATAAAGTTGTGCAGTTTTTCTGAGTGTACCTTTGGTTAAATGTTTGTTAAATAAAGCCTTATCTTTAATTCTGAGAGAGGCATGCTGATTGTAAAGGTGATCTGCTAAGGCTTTTAAGAATATAGATTTTAACAAAAAACAAGGAGTTTTCAATCATGGCTAAAAAAATGTATCCCTTTCATAAGAACATAAGAACGGCCATACTGAGTCAGACCAATGGTCCATCTTCCGACAGTGGCCAATGCCAGATGCCCCAGAGGGAATGAACAGAACAGATAATCATCAAGTGATCCATCCCGTCGCCCATTCCCAGCTTCTGGCAAACAGAAGCTAGGGACACTTCAGAGCTAATAGCCATTGATGAACCTATCTTCCATGAATTTATCTAATTCTTTTTTGACCCTGTTATAGTCTTGGTCTTCACAACGACCTCTGGCAAAGAGTTCCACAGGTTGACTGTGCGTTGTGTGAAAAAATACTTCCTTTTGTTTGTTTTAAACCTGCTGCCTGTTAATTTCATTTGGTGATCCCTAGTTCTTGTGTTATGAGAAGGGGTAAATAACACTTCCTTATTTACTTTCTCCACACCAGGTATGATTTGATAGACCTCTATCATATCTCCCCTTAGTCGTCTCTTTTCCCAGCTGAAAAGTCCCAGTCTTATTAATTTCTCCTCATATGGATGCTGTTCCATACCCCTAATCATTTTTGTTGCCCTTTGCTGTACCTTTTCCAATTCCACTATACCTTTTTTGAGATGGGGCAACCAGATCTGCATGCAGTATTTAAGATGTGGGCATACCATGGATTTATATAGAGGCAATATGATATTTTCTGTCTTATTATCGATCCCTTTCCTAATGATTCCTAACATTCTGTTAACTTTTTTGACTGCCACTGCACATTGAGTGGGTGTTTTCAGAGAACTATCCACAATGACTCCAAGATCTCTTTCTTGAGTGGTAACAGCTAATTTTGACCCCATCATTTTATATTTTCAGTTGTTGGTTTTAAACCACTTGATTCTTGTCATGTCACATTTCACTTCAGAGACTCGCAGAGTAGGCAAGACCTGAATTTCCAAGGCTAAAAGGTTGTTCTTAGTGTTTTACAAAACACTTTAAGGCCTTGCTGACACATCGTTAACTTTGAGAAGAAATGTTCTGGAGAATGCTAGGCAGCTAATGTCTCTTTTGGTGCTGATAAGTTTTCAGTTTAAAGGTCAGGAATATCATTATCACTTCTTTCTGTTAAAGTAGGGAAATAATGGATTGGCTTTGGTGACACAGAATGCCACTGTAAGAGGTTTGATAGTCTTGAGTCAGACAAATAGGACAAAGAACACATCATATTATAGGAATCTTTGAAATTCTAAAAGACTAAGGAAGTAATTGTAAAAATGAATTGGAAGGTTTTTAATTAAAAATCGATATGATAAAAGAACCAATGTGAAAAATATAGAAACGACATTATAGTTTGTACAACTCTTCTTAATGTATGTTGAAATCATATATCAAGTTCTCCTCATAATATCCAAAAATTAAATGTGAAAGAACTATGATTCCCTTTATACACATCCTAAAACAGCCTGAGATGTTTGGGTTGTAAAATTCCCATTTGAGAAGTATTACCACTTCTTGCAGGTAAGCCAGTCTTCCACTGCACATGATTATTAGAGGGGACAGATTTTCAGAACTTTGCTAGCCAGACTTTCATGTGCACAAACTGAGCCCAGTAGTGAGTTGGATGCACTCCCGATTTCAGAACTAGAGACTGGACATGCACAAAAGCAAGTGTACCCAAAAGCTGCACGTTTGTAAAGTGGCCTCCTGAAAAATTAAACAGCAACGAACTAAGGCCACTTTAATTCTGAATGAGAGCATCCACATGAGAGTTTAATATGTTTTTTTTATGCATATTATCTTCATCACTTTAATTCATTTTCACTTTCCTGAATGTCCTTGCATAAATGAGGCCTGATTTGAGAGTGTATAGGCTGAGTGAAATTTCCATGGTCATCCAATGGAAATTAAGAGATAGTGATTGACATGGGAGACTCTCAGTGCAGCTGAGCCGTATGAGAGTGACACAGAGAGAGACAGGCTGATATTGAGAGGAAGAAAAGAGAGCATAGAAGGGAAATTGTATGGTATGTAGCACATTTCAGAAGAACATGGAAGCAAATTCCACTTCAGAGTCTGTAATGCAATGTGAACATCATTACTAAAAATTCCTACTACTACTAACGTGCATTAGTAAGGAGAACATATACCCAACTCAAAGAACTGCATTAACAGAATTGCAAAACACAGAGAAATAGAAATGAATGAAAACCATGACAATGATTATGAATTTTAAAAAGCAGAAAAAAACCCTCAACTACAAAAACACAATGGGAAAGGAAAGGTTTCCACGCTCTTATTTCTTAGCATCTTTCTGGAGGTTTATAGACCATCTGAAAGTGTCCTCTGACCAGCTGCTGAGATAGGTCGCAGCCTGAGTTGGGGTATATCTACACTGCGATTAAATAGCTTTGGCTGGCCCATGTTAGCTGACTCTGGTAGTGGGGCTGTAAAATTGTGGTGCAGATGCTCGGGCTGGAACTCAGGCTTTGGAACCCTCCCCCTTTGTGGGGTCCCAGAGCTCAGGCTCCAGCCCAAGCATCTAGACTGCAGTTTTACAGTCCCGTAGCCCGAGCCCTATGAGCCCGAGTCAGTTGACACAGGCCAGCCGTGGATGTTTAATTGCAGTGTAGTCATACACTTGGACACTTTGGCTAGGTCTACACTACAGCGGGGTTCCGACCTAAGATACGCAACTTCAGCTACGTGAATACCGTAGCTGAAGTTGCGTATTTTAGGTCGGCTTACCTGGCGGTGAGGACGCGGGAAAGTCGACCGCTGCCGCGCTGCCGCCGACTCCGCTACCGCCTCTTGTCGAGGTGGATTTCCGGAGTCGACGGTAGAGCCATCAGGGATCGATTTTACCGCGTCCTCACGAGACGCGGTAAGTCGATCCCCGATAAACCGATTGCTACCCGCCGGATCGGCGGGTAGTGAAGACGTAGCCTTATAGAGTGCACTGGCCTCCTCCACTGTTGTGCCCTTGCTAGTGCCATAGAGGTCACTGCCGTGGTGGATGGGTGGTGGCAGGGAGACATCGTGGCACTAGGACACTAGTACGTTGGCAGTTCAGTATGTCAGTTATTAGATGTTGGTCAATCTGCTGTTTACCATTTCCTAATTTCTTTTTCAGGAACAGCCTAACCTAAATATTGCATCAGCAGTAGAAACGTCATTTAATAGGCAGAATTTTATGATGACTACTGTACATTATTAGCTTCTGTCACATTAATCTATGGTCTCTTGTTCTTGCAGCCTAAACTTAGCATGGCCAAATGCAGGAGAAATGTGGAAAACTTTCTGGATGCATGTAGGAAACTGGGTATACCAGAGGTAATTTTTAATTATGTCCATCAATATCCTGTGACCTAAAACACACCAAAAAGCATAAATTATGTGTTATTTTACACTTGAAGGCTCTTTATTTTATACATCGCTAAAATTATTCGTCTTATTTTATGAAATATTACAGTAGAACATTTACACCCTCATTCAACAATGCACTTATATATGCCCTTAGCTTTAAGCACATGAATTGTCCTATTAAGGTGTTCATGTGAGATATTCACGAGTTTATAGTCCTACCGTCTTTAGTGAGATTTATTGTGATTAAAGGCATTGCTGGATTGGGGTCTAATTCCCCTCATGACTAGAAGACCCATTAAGAAACGACTGAATTTTGTGAATTAGAAAACTCAACAATAAAACAAGTATAATGTATAACAAAATGGATAATAGTCATTTTTGTAAACATGCCTGTTTTGCCATAGATAGGTAGATAAGAGTATTTTCAGTAATCTCAATACCTCCTTATATTTCCTATAGAAAATAACTAGTAAATACGGCAAGTAGATAATATTAGTTTTATATAAGGAAAAATTAGCAAGTTTTTAAAGAGTGATAACTGTGTTTTACTTGGTGCTTTTATTTTACAAGCTTAGTTTAGTTTTAAGTATTTATACTTTATACTGTATTATTACATATTTTGTAGTACATTTTGTCAAAGAAATTGGTAATATGAGATCTCATCTCAGCACTCTTACATTTTTGCTGAGATGTAAGGAGAGGAATGTGCAGATTAGCAAAATGCAAATGAGTGACGTTCTACTGTGATGTTAAACTATCATTGTAGAAATGACTAAATGGAGTAAACGCAAGAAAGTTTAAGATTTTACATGTTCAGGTTTCTGTAGAGAATGCCAGTAGTCCATATTCTGATAAAAATTACACTGGAGTAGCTCATTATGATACAGTTTAGTTACTCTGGATTTACACTGGTACAGTTTAGATCAGAATCTGTTCCAGTATCTAAAAATATGTCTGATGTAATTAAAGACAATTTCGTTTCAAGCAATTGGCCTTCAGTATGAGGAATTAGTTTGTGTACAAACTAGTTTTTAATGCAGTAAAATATAAAACTACAAACATAAAACTGTCCATTACTTAATGTTGTCGTCGTATTTTTGCCAACAGTATAACTAAGGCTCTGAGAGCACTTTTATTTTAAGGTTTTCTTTCAGGAGTCTAAAAACATGTTTAGTTTTGTTTTTACTTTGGGATGAGACTTGAATACAAAGTTTTTAAATTATGACAGGATTCCTTTTTCAGAATGTGAAGAAATCCGTTAGTCTGACCTCTGTTTGAAGGACAGGAAAACAAAGTGTTTTTTCCCTTTCTGCAATTTGAAGAAGGATTGGGAGGGAGGATTGTTCTTATAACTACAATGAATTTCTGTTAAAATTAAATTTTGTAATCCATAGTGTTATGAATTAGGTCTCTATTTTTAAAATGATTATATTGACCAGCTGTTAGAGTTTATTAATGCACAGTAACTGCTTTCATAAAGTTATGTAATGTAAAATATTCATAATAATATTAGAATGGCTGCATATTGTGGGATAAAAGACTAGTTTCAGAAATCAGACGGCATGTCTCCCTGTCATGAGAATATTGTGTCAAAATGTATGCAGCCTGTGTGTGGAATGTTTAGTGAGATGTGAGCCACCCTTGGATGTACTCATAATCAGAGTTGCCGGGAAGTGGCCTTTTCGGGGAAGGGAGAGGAGGAAGGTGGCTGTTTTTAATTGGGTCTTTTAAAAAAAGAAAATCAATTGTCATAAAAATATCCAAGGAGCAGTATATTAACATGAGATCCCTTGAATGCCACAGCATAGTGTGACAAGCTCAGATGAGGCAATAATCTTAAATCTGAATTTTCTTGTTAAATTGCAGTAAATCAGCTTACTGAGTAACAACAATTATTGTTGTTTTAATGTTAGTGAGTAAACAGAGATGACACGTAACTGTTGATAGTGTTGGGGCACAATTTAAAGGTTCTGGTGGTATGCAGTGGGGTTCGTGGCAAGGCATATAAACCCTGGGAGAAATCTGGGGGGTGGGAGGCACATGACCCCACCTGCCCCCACCTCCCACACGTCGCCTCTGTGAGTAAGGGTTTACATTTGTTTTTCTCTTTGCAGCTTTCAATGAAATATAAACTTTCTCTGCTAATATTGCAGACTTGTTATAGATTTTTGGCGCCATTTGACTAACTGTTTGTATATTGCATGTTTTCATAGAAGGTTAAACAAAAGGTCAGATCTCATAAATCTAAATAAACAAACATTAGTTTCTACCCATATGAAATTTCATTCACTTAAATATCAAGTACATTTGTTTGAGGTTTTAATTTGTAAGAGGTCTTGTGGAATTCTGTAAGAGAATTCAGGCTTACTAAGCGTGGATGGCAATTGACAAATTTACTGCTATACTTTGTGGAAAATGCATTGTGTTTCAGAACTTAGATGAGTGAAAGTGTTTGGAGTTTGCTGTGTTTTACTGAGTGAGTGTGAGAGAGAAAATGTTGGAAACAAAGATCAGTGGTAGGTAGATATGATTGTGTGAGTAGCTAGCAGGACGCCAAAGCCCAGATAGATCAAGAATCTATCTAGGAACAATATGCTGTAAAAGTGCCGAGAAAGCCATTCCCCACTTTCTAACATTTGCATGTATGTTGATTGTTCTTATATAGCCTAACAGTCTCAGGAGAATCCAGCAATAGGAATACAACATTTGCAATGAATTGTTTTCTTTTCTGAACAGATTACCATTAAGCTCCAGCCCTTTCTTGGCAGCTCCTATGTCTACTAACCCACACCACAGAGTAGCATTTCTCACGTTATTCCAATCACATTAAGAGATGTCTCTGGAGGAAAAGTGGATGATCTGGGATGGGCTGAATGCTGTTTCAGTACAAGAGGGTGATCAAAATGGAAGATTTTACACATGTTTAAGCAGAAGGGGGCTTTCAGTGGAATGAGGCGGCGTGCTGTTTAGTGGTAGTGCTGAAGGGAACTCCAGAACCATATGCTCACTGAGCTTCATGACTGACCTTGAGACAAGTGTAGCATGAAGGTGCAAACATGCAATGTGATTTGGAGAATGATAATTTTACAGGAGGTTGAGTCCTGGGTTGCAGCTTTTCCAGCCCCCAGTTGATGGTGAGGGAATGTTGAGTGTCAGAAAAGGATTCTCCAAAGATCTTGCCAAGGTCCCTGAGCAAAACAAAGGAATTCAGGACGTACATATTTTAAATCAGTGGCTCTCAACCTTTCCAGACTACTTTACCCCTTGAACGAGTCTGATTTGTTTTGCATACCCCGAACTTTCACCTCACTTAAAAACTACTTGCTTACAAAATCCAACATAAAAATACAAGTGTCACAGCATACTATTACGGAAAAATTGCTGACTTTCTCATTTTTACCATATAATTATAAAATAAATCACTTGTAATATAAATATTGTACTTACATTTCAGTGCATAGTGGTATATAGAGCAGTATAACCAAGTCATTGTTTCTATGAAATTTTAGTTTGTACGGACTTCGCTAGTGCATTTTATGTAGCCTGTTGTAAATCTAGGCAAATATCTAGATGAGTTGATGTACCCCCTGGAAGACCTCTGTGCACCCCTAGGAGTACATGTACCCCTTGTTGAGAACCAGTGTTTTAAATGAATAAACAGGCAGGGGAAAAAAACAGAGTCCATCTTTGTACATAAAAGCTCACTTTTTTGCTTTGAAATTCACCTTTAATATTAATATATGTATGAACATACTGTTGAGGTACTCAGTCATCTGCCCACAGCATTTAGCCTCTCAGGAGTGCTCAGAGTTATAAGGACAATTACAGGTCAATGAATTTCAAAGTTTTGTCTTGACACAAAGTAAAATATGTCCAGGATTCTATGTATAATGTGATTATAGTATAATCATATCAGGGACAAAAGAGAGATACAGAGGGAATACAAGAGGGAATACAGAGGGGAAATCTAATGAATATCTTAGATGTCTGTATACTAATGCAGGAAATATGGGGAACATACAGGAAGAATTAGAAATACTAGTGAATAATCACAGTTACAACAAAATTGGCATTGCAGAGACTTGGTGGGTTAATTCATATGACTGGAATATTGGTATAGAAGGGTAGAGCTTATTCAGGAAGGACAGGCTGAGAAAAAAGGGAGGCGGTGTGGCCATTTATATCAAAGATGTATATGCTTGCACTGAGATTGAGATAGAAGTTGGAGGCAGACCTTTTGAAAGTCTCTGGGTAAGGATAAAAGGGGTAAAAAAACCTAGGGTGATGTCCTGGTAGGCGTCTCCTACAGACCACCTAACCAGGAAGAAGAGGTGGATGAGGCCTTTTGGAACAACTAACAAACTCATCCAAATCACAGGACTGGGTAGTGATGGGCGACTTCAACTATCCAGACATCTTTTGGGAAAATAACAGTGCAGGGCACAGATTATCCAACAAGTTCATGCAGTGCATTGAAGACAACTTTTTATGGCAGGAGGTGTGGAGAAAGCAAGTAGGGGAGAACCTGTGCTAGATTTGATTTTGACAAATAGGGAGGAACTGGTTGAGATTTGAAGGTGAAAGGTAGCTTGGGTGAAGGTGAACATGAAATGAGAGATTTCCTAATTCTAAGGAATGGTAGGAGGGAAAACAGCAGAATAAAGACAATGGATTTCAAGAAGGCAAACTTTAGCAAAAGGGAGTTGCAAGCCTATTGTAGGGGGGTCCTAGTATTGCTATCCTTAATTCTGCCCTGCCTTCAGAGCTGGGCGCCCGGCCAGCAGCTGCTGCTCTCTGGCTGCCCAGCTCTGAAGGATGCGCTGTCATCAGCAGCAGCGCAGAAGTAAGGGTAGCAGTACTGCAACCTCCCTACAATAACCTTACAACCCCCACCCCACACACACACACACACACACACACACACAACTCCTTACACATACAACACCATGAAATTTCAGATTTAAATA